ACGGACCAAGGTTGGTTGTTGGCCGGGGCATGGCGTTGATGCAGCGCTGTGTGTTGAGCTCCCGTGTGTACAAGAGCCGTAAGCTCCCTGATTCCGGAAGGACACGTGGACCTGCACCAATAAAAGTGACAGAGTTTGGTGTTGTGTAGCTCGGTGTTTTGTATGTGGTGGGTTAACGCCAACCCGGCCACTAAAACTCATTGGGATGGCCCCTCTCTCGAATGTCAAAGAGGACAAGCCAGGTCCAGTTTATGGGCGAAGATGGGCTGCTGAGCTGCCGGTTTGTGAGCTGCAGTGTACAAATGCAGCCTCAAGGAGGTTCCCGTGAGGTCCGTTCTCGGCATTTGTTGGGTTCAACATGCAGGTGTCGGGTTAAATCCGGCCAAAAGCAGCAATGAGCCGGCGATTCCATTTTATTCAGGAAGGCTGCCAGACACCTTCGTACTTGTTCCAGGCCTCTGCAGCACTGCGCAGGCGGTCGATGGCCACTAGCCGTTTCTTATTTTCGGGCAAAGCATGGCGCAAGCCGAGCAAATTTATGGCTGTTGCCCACTTGTCAGCGTCATCCTGGATGCCATGAAACAGGGGGAATTCTGAATGTGTTGGATATGGTAAGAACGCCGACAGGAACCCTGAGCGAAGTGAAGCAAAATGGTAGAGCTTTTGCAAAAGTTTCAGTTTCAAACAGCACGCGAAAGTTCCTCAGCGCTCTCGTGCAAGTCGCATGGAAAGCCAGGGTCAATGTATGCGTAGCAATTGACGGCTCTGGTACTCAGGGCTGCGGTAGTACTCTATGATGATAGAGTTCAGTTCATGAGATCCACGCCAATGGGAGCCCCATTCCCAGATGAAAAGAGGACCCCATGCGGCGCTTTGATGTTAGCTGGTGTCACGGTGCAGAAGTGTGGTTGGCGAGGAGGCCTGGATGCCGTTTCCGGACAGTGTTCGCAGTGCTGGGAGGTTGTGAGGCTTTGAGGAAGCATAGATGCCATCCCCGAGCTGTGCTTGGTGCGTTGGCAAAAAGGGGGTTGCCATGGCTGAGAAAGTGTGGATGACTTTGCTTGACTGGCGGGTCCGAAATGCTCAGGATGCACGAGCACAGGCTGAGGTAGCCTCAAGTCTTTGTTTTATATGACTGTGCCATTGTTGTGAAGAAAGACAAACAAAAGACAGCACCCTTGCTGCAGGCAGGCTGTTCTTATTGTACTGTTTTCTTCCTCTACTTCCAGTTTGCCTAGCATGCGCTATCTTCTTTACAATGGATAGGATAGTCTAGGTGGCAGAGGAGTTCTACAGAGAGCTGTACAGAAGCCAAAACAGCCACGATGGTATTGTGAGAAACAATAATAGTACAAAAGAATTCGATATCCTACCAGTAAATGACTGGGGAAGGAAAGGGTGCCACCACTGGAAGACAAGCTAGCGCTGTGCTTGTGCTTTCTTCTCCTGCTCTGTCCTTGTCTCAGCACAGTTAAAAAACATTACAGAATGAACGTCAACCAACTAGCCCAGCTGGTGCTCTTCTGCTATTGAGAAGTTTTGTGCCCAAAAGGGTGGCAGCCATCGTCGTGCAGCCTGTCTTGTCTCCAGCGTGTGCTAATTTGCATTAAACCTATTGAGGAACAAAAGGGAACGTACCCGTCAAAGGAACCCCTTCGGGACCATACTTATCTTGTATGCCCTGTCGCACAACATGAAAAAGATGCTCAACAGAGACTGGGTCAACATTCTAATGTCAGCACCTTGCACACTGTCGCAGATTTGTAATACTTTGAAAAAGAAGGCAAGGTGCACAGTTAAGCATCAGACAAAAGTTACAGAAAGTGCCTCGGACATTGGGTACATTATTGCTCTCAGTTATGGCAGAGAATACCGCATTTACGGGCATAATTGGCGCCCACGCATAATTCGTGCACGCCTAATAGTTTGCCAGCATTTCAGGAAAAAAAATATTTACTCGCATATTTCGCACTCCCCGACCCCTCCTAGCCAGCTCACCGGTGCACGCACCTTTAGACCTTTCGATGCTTTTGCCGGGTGCGCGTCTTACCGAGCAGACAAGCACAGTCAAACAGGCTGCCAGTGCGAAGTCCCTGCTTCCAAGGACTTCCCTGAACTAGGGTCCCTAGAATACCGCACCCGAACAATAGCAAGTCGCTGGAATGGTTCGAGCGTTTGCCTCCCCCTATCTCTCAATCTCTACCACCATGATAATGGGGAAAATGCATGCTCACGTCACAGCTCGGACGGCTTTCTGCATCGGAGGCATACGAGGGCCTGTGGCGCCAACTGTTCTCCTCGTTCTCTGCGTTCACACTGCAATGAACACTTGGTCGATTTCGGAAGTTTAAGGTTCGCCATCTGGCCGACACGTCTTGATAGTTTCCTTGCGATGTGCTGCAGTAACTATATATACGGCGAAATTGAAGCTCGCTGGTGTGAATTTTGCCAAGGAAAACGGGAAGCATGCTACCGCAATGTAATTCAAGGGGACGTACTTCAACTTGATGACCGCCGCGATTGGTACTCTAGAAAGGAGAAAAGTGCGCGCTTCTAATAGCAAGTTCCTGCCATTGAATGAGGCCCTTTTCATTATGTGCGGATGCTTAGTTCTTCCGGTGATTCCGTAGCGTGAAGCCTAGTTTCTCCTAGCATTGTTGAAAGAGTTTCAAAAAATTAGAGTGATTCCCAATTGGACTTCGTGATCATTGATTTGTGCTAGATCGCGGGTGACAGAATTTGACTGGGTAAAGTACGTGCTATTCTTTGAAAATTTACAAGGGCACTTCGTTTGTGCTGAGATTTATTTCTTCTTGCTTTTTAAATGTATATATACTGTATGCATTAAGACTATGGCACAACATTTCGTATGCTCTGGCGAAATTCCCCCGTAGTTTGTGTTCTCCCTTCTCGGGGCACCAAAATCGAGGAAAAATGTGCACAAATTATGCGAGTAAATACGGTTTATGATATCTCCATCAGGCACCGTCTGTGCAATTGTGTACATCAACTTTAGAGGTGTCTCACGCATGGCATGCTTTTTCAAATATTTTGGTATGTAGTGTGTATATTCGTGCAGGCTTCCTTAGTAAACAGGTAGTGGTGATTTGGAATACCGTATTTACTCGCATATAACCTGAACACCTAACTGTGAACTTCCTGAAAAAGAAAAAAAAAAGAAAAAAGTTCTCGCATGTAACTTGCATGCTTAGCTTTAAAAAAAAAAAATGTTTTGGGAAATAACAACTGTACAGGACATCACAATTTTGTTTTCAAAAGAATTTTATTTCGAAGCGAAAGCGATCGCCGCAACGTTGACGGCGCCGATTCCCGTTCCTTCAATCATTGCAGTAAGGCGGTTAGTTGGGCCAGTTGGTTGGGATTTATTGTGAACTTGTTTACAGCGCAACACCAGAAACACAGGACAGGGAAGAAGCAAAAGAAAAAGAAGAGCCGTCTTTTCTTTCTTGCTATAATCTTGAGGTTTTTTTTTTTTTTTTTTTTTTTTGCGGTGACAGATTGCCACCGGGACCCACTCATAATGCCTCACCAGACAAGGCTGACCAACGGTGCAAACTGGCCTCACCTGACTGAGGAAGATGCTGTCAAATTGCTGGTGTGGTGCTGTTGACCAAATAAAACAAAGCACGCAAAAATTGAATGGACACTTTCGTCCCTAGAATAGGGACCATATAAACACGCTACAAAGGGGATCTGTCTATGGTCGTAGTATGCTTTTATTGGCTTTGCACCAGACGATGCCGATGGGGATGCGGACTGCAAGGGAGGCCATGCCTTGCCGTAATACCGACCTCTGCTTCCGGATTATTCACAGATAATCCGCACCTCCACTTTTCAAGCGATTTTTTAATTTTTGGTGCGGGTTATATGTGAGAAAATACAGTAATTGTGCTGCGTATTGCTGTAGAGGATCACTTTGCTAGAGACACTACCATTCCAGGACCGATGTCAAGAGTATTCTTTTTTTCTTTGCTCGAAATGAATACAATCAAAAGACAAACTGTGCATGCATTTTGGCCGAATCATTTGATTCTTTTTATGCATGGATTGAAGCTGACTCGCTGCAATATAATTAGAGAACATTCGAATTAATATTCATTACTTAAACTCCAGCAAAGCTTGCATTTTCTTTCTTGTAATGCAATACCGAGTGCCTTGGAATCTATGCGAATTTGATGCATTTGCAGACAATGGATCCCGATTCACACCTGAGCCCCGCCGAGGTGGTCTAGTGGCTAATATTCTTGGCTGCTGACCTGCAGGTCGCGGGATGAAATCCCGGCAGTGGCAGCTGCATTTTCGATGGAGGGGGAAATGTTATAGGCCCGTGTGCTCAGATTTGGGTGCATGTTAAAGAACCCCAGGTGGTTGCAATTTCCGGAGCCCTCCACTACCGCATCTCTTATAATCATATGGTAGTTTGGGGACGTTAAAACCCACATATCAATCAATCGATTTGCACCTGAAGGGGGTATGACGCACTCTGGTTGCTGTGTTAACGAGAAAGCATCAGAGTATTGTGCTCAAGTGAAGACTGGCTGTGAAAGCCACTTGACTGCACGTAAAGAGCTGTGGGTGCTACGAGCAGTTCCACAAGATTTATCAGCAACAGTTCTGACAGGTACTGCTGACTGGGCAATTTGGTGAAAGATGAAATGGTAATGCTTTAGCGCAGCTCAGTTTGAGTATGAAAAAAAAGATGCTACAGTCAAGAAAGGAAAAAAAAGAAACAGACGACATATGAGTGCTAACTTCAAACGTTTGTTTATTACCTGACCTTACAGCACATTATGTTGCTCACCTTGCTGCACATGTGACACCGCACTCATGCCAAAACAGAGCGTGAGCTGTCATTTTCGGTTGGGCTCAGTAATTCCTTAGGGGAGTAAATAGTTCATTGCCCATCACAATTTTCCCGATTAGAGTGCAAAGACTCTGAATGTGACCATAAGATTTCATTGCCTCACCAAACTGTGCAGGCTGAAGGACTCAACTGGGTGGCAGCTGGCATTCACCAGTCCTTACCTCGAGCCTGTGATTGAACGCATTGCACTCAATGCCAAAGTGGTGACGACAGCGTCGGCGCAGGCGCCCGAGAGTGGGGCCAAGATGCTGGCCGTTGCATACAGGCTCCCAAGTGCGACTATGGAGCATCGCCCAGGAAGGCAACGGCCGGGCTGAGATTGGTATGCTCTGCGCTTTGTTTGATATGTCCGGAAGTGCTGGGCTAGTCAGTTGCTCTACCAGCTTCCAAGATGTGGCTGTTTTTGTGCGAGGGAAAAGGGGATTGCCCACTTTCATCAAAATTAACATGCGCAGCAACCTAGGCACGCATAGAGCGCATGCCACCCTAATCACCACCCGTGACCCGAGAACTTGCTCCTTCTTTGCAAGAGACACTGAAGTATCGCTGATATGTAAGGAACCTCGTGCTTCTGTATGGAATGTCTTTAACAGTATGTTAATATGGGCTGTGCTTGATCTTGCTAATGGGAGACAATGCACTGAAAACTTTGTTTTGACATGAAACACTATAGACTCCGTGCTGTGAGACTGGTGCGCTGCCGCGCGGCCGCCAGAGAAGACAAACGTTGAGAGCCCGAGCAGAACGAAACACTCCCCCAATGTTCGCTATCACGTAGTTTATCTGAATCATGAACTGCTACGTAGTGGATTGTACCAACAGGTACACGCCGTGTCCTGCAAGAACGAAATTTCACAGTTTCTCGACTTGTCCTTGCTTTATTAGGCAGCGAAATAAGTGGATCATGGCTGTGGGACGTAAAAAGTGTTTAGTTCCCATTTTCTCTGCCGTCTCGCATTCTGCCGATGCGTGCTTGAATTGGTCTGAGACACCCTCTGCAGGTGCGATGATCTTGCGTGATGTTCTTGCTGCCATAGAGCTGGTGAGAAAAGAAACACACACAAGAAATTTTATTTCAGATCAAGGCTGATGGGGCACCTTAATGGACCTTAATAATTACTACCTCCCCGTGTACCGTTCGCAGTTCTGAGGAATGCAATGCTAGGTCAATTAGTGCTTTCTTGAGTTGATGGGTCCATCAGTGAAGGGAAGGGGCGAACTGAGTTACGTAGCATTTTACCATAAACACAAGTAGCCACCCAGCAGCACCCGATAGGATCAAGCTAGTACGTCAGTTGGTTGGTTGGTCCTTATTAAACTGGCGCAAGGCACCATGGGGGATCAGCCATGAAATGGGCGATGTCTTGATATATAAATGATTTTGTTTATAGATCTCAAAATCTTTAGCAACAGATAATTTTCTAAATAATTAATTAGCTTAATTCAGGAAAAAAGTGTGATGTCGTTGAAGAATACGTTTCACTCACATAACCTTACAATTCAATTCGTTTCGTCTCGCGTAGCAAATTGCATATGGCATTCCAAATGCTCCTGTGTTTAAAACAAAGTGCTGCAGCTCCAAAGGAAATACCCGCCGGAAGTAATGAATTGAATCCCATCTTTCGTATTTGGTTCATTCAAAAGCCTTTTTTTTTTAGTGTTAAACAATCTGCATGTTAGGAAGAATTGATGCAGGGCGTAGAGTATAGCAGAACTATATATGGTAAGAAACGATGCTTTGCAAATGCTGTAGCGACGGATGTGCATCTCTGTGTTTCGGAAAGCAACATAAACAAAGCAAAAGGTTATAATTAATGAGAGACACTGGTGGCCGAAGTGACCGTGTCGTCGTTGTCAGCACTCTACAAGGTGAAGCGAAAGACGGAACGGGGCATGCGCCGTCCTCTCTGGACAAAATCTTCTCGCGTTCTCTTTCTCACCCACGCCTCAAGCTCTTAGCATGAGCTGCGTGAGGGGCGAGGTAAAGACTATGATCATGATGAGTGACAATGATTCCACGACAATTTCAAGCAAAGCACTTTGTGAGGCTTGTTGGCTGAATATCGCCGTGGCACGACGCCGCAACAAATGAGCACGTCAGTGTTTTCACGGCGAGTGGCCGTGTAGCCATCGATATTTCTAAATGCCCCGAGTATTTTACAAGTACACGGATAGTGGGCAAGCACCGATAATAATCTAAGTTCGAAAGAATGACAACTTGCCGTGTTAGTTATGCAGCAAGCCTCATGCATTATGCCCACCTGACACACGCGTTAAGCCATCACAGCTGGCGACGGGCAGCAAAGCGCTAACGCAAAAAACATGGCCGCTTTTTTGAAGGTTTTCCCATTTAATCATGGTGGCATCGCAGAAGATTGTCCCCCTGCGATATATTGAAATTCTGCTCGGAGCACGCACTAACCCGCCGGCCACGGGTGCTTGTTCCACCATAGCTATCAAAGCAATTAGGCGCTGCTGTCTGCTACGACTCTTAACGTTGCACGCCCGCCACAACACAAGTGGCGCTGCGCACGCCTTTTAAGGCGCACATAGACATTGAGGGGGTAAGGGAAGAATCCTTAGGACATAGCGCTGAACTGCAGCTGATGCTTTATTTCTGGTGGACTAAGCTTATATGGATGTTACTAGCCGATGACAGCACTCTTGCACCACACATCAACAAAAAATGAAGGTAAAAAACAACACTCATCATTTTGCACACTGCATATGGTTACCAAAAGAGTGGTCATGCAGTTTTCTTTGTAACAATTGACTCCACAAGCTTCGTGAGTCAGCCTGTCCTTTTTTTCCCTACCTCTGTCCTAACAAGTTGTTTACCAGCACTGCTTTTACCGTGCAAGGACAAGTTTTAGAATTTTTTACTGATTTTGATCAAGCTTCCAGAGTCGTAATGCGTTTATGCACCGATTTCAAACACAGTCGAATCCCGCTACCACAAAATTGAATGCATGTATGAATAAATTATTTGTAGGAGAGTTGTATTGAAGCAAAGCACAAAGTATAGACCACATAAGGTAAGGAGATTGGATGATTATTATTCATTTTGTGCTTCCAGCAAGCGCATGCATTGTCTTTTGCACTGAACTCTCGTTAACTCAGACATTTTTGGCTCCACTGCGAGCGTATGTACTTTCTCGCTTATAGCTAGCACAAAATATGCAGAAAATTTGAAGCTGAACTCTTGGTGTCAGGTGCGTGCAAACTTTGGTGTGTAAATTTTTATTTATTTTTTATTTTATTTTTACATACTGCCAATCCCAATGAGGACTATTGCAGGAGGGCAAACAAAATAAACAAGAAATACATATACAACCAAATACTCAATAGATACACTTGCACTTACATGCGAGAATGTGCGACAACAGATATTCTATAATGATACATGAAGAGTATAAAAGCACAACCTATGTCTGGCAGATATACACAAAAATATTATATTACGTAATCCACTGATAACACTCACATATTCAAGAAGCACCAAGCACTGTACAAGCAAGAAAAAAAAGCATAGAAAAGAGAAAAATCATTTCAGCTATAAGTGTCACGAATGTGGTTTTGAACTAAAGTTAAAAAAGTATTCAAATCTTTAGTATTAGTCAAACAAGCGGGCAATCTATTTCATTCTCTAATTGACTGTGGGAAGAAGGAATACTTGAAGCAGTTGGTGCTGAAACAGTATTCCTGTAATGTTAGTGGATGTTTATGGCTTGACTGTCTGGTTTCTGAAATAGATATGAATCTTGAGCTGTTGATGTTTAGCTGCCTATCAATAAGTTGGAAGAGCATTTTTAGGCATGTGAGTTTAGCGCGATTTCGAAATGTTAGTAGCCCGGCTCTTGCGATCAGTTCAGAGGGTGAGTCGAGCAAATTGTATTTATTATAGGTAAATCTAACTGCTTTCATTTGTACCCCTTCTAGCTTTTTAATTAAGTTCTCTGTTGCCGGGAACCAGACTTAGTTGGTGTATTCTAATAATGGGCGGATTAAGGTTTTATAGGCTAATTAAGGTTTGAGGTGGTGCGGAACATAGTCACCTTTTTTGGAAAAATAATCTTTTTAAGGCTGAAGATGTAACAAAGTTAACATGCGCCTCCCATTTAAGATCATTAAAATCACTAGCCCTCGGTACTTATGCTGTTTCAGGGAAGTTAGTGGTGTGTCGTCAATAGTGTAGTCAAAATATGATAGCATTTGTTTACTCGATATTTTTAACAAAGCAGATTTTTTTTATGTTTAAGATCATCTGCCATTTCGTGCACCAATTAGATACTGATAATAGGGCATTGCTAAGAGCAATATGGTCCAAAGGAGAGTTAATTTCTTTATAAAAAATATAATTGTCGGTGAAAAGCTTGATGTTCGTTCCAATGGACTGGGACAAATCGATAATAAATATAAGGAATAAAATAGGAGCTAAGACGCTGCCCTGCGGTACACCTGATGTAACCTTTGATAGCTCCGATGTTTGCTGGTTTATTTTTACGAACTGCGGTCGCTTGGTCAGATGTGCGCTAATCTATTTTGTGATTGGTCCTTTACCTAATGTCGCCTGCAGTTTAATTAATAACCTTTGATAGGAAACCCAGTCGAATGCTTCTGAAAAGTCGAGTGAAATAGGATCGATCTGCTTTTGATGGTCAATGGCCGATGACAGCTCATATATTAATTCAGTGAGTTGCGTAACGGTAGATAGGCCTTTACGAAACGCGTGCTGAATAGGTGGCAGAATGTGCTTTTTTTTCAAGGTAAGTAGTGATATGCTTAAAAATAATGTGCTCTAGTATTTTGCAAGTAGTGCTTGTCAAGGATATCAGGCAATAATTAGCGACGTCAACCTCACTACCCGATTTGTGAATTGGTATGACTCTTGCCACTTTCCAGTCATTGGGAAGTCAGCATTTTGTTAGGGACATGCTAAAGATCATGAACACATATTTGGTTATCTATTCGGTGTATCGGGTGAGAAACTGATTCGGTATATTATCAGGCCCTGGCTGTTTCTTAACCTTTTTTTTTAGCAAAAGGTCAAATATACCTTCTTCGCTTAAGCGGACAAGTTCAATGGGGTTGACGCTATGAGTTTCGAGAGGCAGAGGAATGTCGTCGTCTGTGGTGAAAACTGAATTAAAGTAGTTATTGAACAAATTATGGGTTTAAATAGTTCCAAAACTTCTCAGGTACATCATTTCATAAAGTTAGGTAAAGTCCAAGAAAATTAGCAGTTTTTGGCTGCTTTAATTTGAGACTTCATGGAACTAATGGCTTCCGTAAGGTTCTTAGTAATTATGACATTCGATGTTT